TTTAAAACCCTCCAAACCTCAGGAATATTTTTTTTTGTTTGAGTGCAAAAGTAATAAAAATTCATATTAATTAATATACAAGTGTGAAAAATGTAAAATGTAAAAAATAAAAAATAATAATAATACAAACGTTCGTAATAACAAGCTCTACAACTTTCATGAAGGAGTTAACTACACACCATAATCCATAAATTACAGATTTATATTTAACAGTCAATTGTCGTTTACGTTTACGCTTTATTCTTCTTACCAAATTTCTTTTTTTTTTCTCCAGAATTTCATTTTTAAATACATGACATTTTAACGGTTACTGAAAGATAAAAGGTTTATATCGTTGATATCATCTTCATATTTTTACGGGTAACGCCCTCCGATCCAACCGTTTAGCACATTCAGCAGATTGTGCTGCTCTTGGCGCCAAGAACCTAGATGCCCGAAGTATCCAAAACAAGAAGATCGAAGAAACGGGTAACGCGCCCTCCGATCCAACCGTTTTATTGTCGAATTTCTGGCCAGTAAACAAAGAAGAACATCGAAGAAAATTGAAGAGGGAGTTTGGAGTGTGATTATTTGGGAAGTGTAAAATCTAAAAATAAAATAATATCACACCCCAGAGTGAAAAGGCATGGCATTTACTGAAGATCAAGTAACAGGGGTGTGTAGAATATCAGAAAAGTATTAAAAAAACTAAAAAAGTGTGTGGGTAGTAATTTTGGTTGTGTGAATATCACTCTCTTAAAAGTTATCAAACAAATTTTTTTTTTAAACAAGTTAAAACGGGTTACCAGTGGATACTTGTTAAGAACCTTTTATTAACGAATGACCTGATTAGTTGATGTCTTGATCCAATATTCGTTATTTTTGTGTCAAATTAACAAACCGTGTAAGAAATTGATAAGTGCACTCGTGAGATCAACTTCCTTTGTAGGGTTTGACACTTTCATGACAGTAAAAAGGCCTTTATATGGGGCAGATCAATTCTGGCTTAATTTAATCTTCGGTGTATATGTAGCTGCAAGCCTGCAAGTTTCGGGATGAAAATTTCTGAGCTTGGCCAGATAACTTTAACCCTTGAAAAACTGTGACAGTACCGGACCACAGATGCTTAACACAGAGAACTGATTAATATTAAATAAGATTTTAATACATTATAAATGATATATGTAATCTTTTTTTTGAAGTACGTACTACTGAGTATACTAAAAAATTAACGGTTAAATCTTGTATATTTGAATCTAATAAATCCTTACAACGATTAAATTATGCATATTGAGTGGTGCGTAACATTATAGTTAGACTCTGTAAGAGCTTAATCAAATAAAAACCACATATTTTAAGAAAAATGTTGACCTGACATAGGGGAGACACTGCCCTCACATGTTTGTCTAATTAAGAAGAAAAAGTTGTAGAATATCATAGGAGGGTTCACTGGTTCAGTGTTTGATTTTGAAGCACATTTCTGTGGGAGCACATGTTGTCTTCTTCACTTAGTGGGAGGGTTCAGTGTTTGATTTTGAAGCACATATTTATGTGGGAGCACATGTTGTCTTTTTCACTCAGTAGTTCTGTAACCATGGATGAGGATCCTCTTCTAATTCTTTTTGTGAGGATCCCGGTGATTATTTTATTGTGTCAATTTATCTTACATTGTACGGTTAGTTTTCATCAGAAATTGTTTGTGTTCAAATCTAAATAAAAAAAATTCAAAATAATTTAATACCATACAATAGACAATAAACGGACACAATAAAATGATCTCCGAGATCTTCACAAAAAGAATCCGAATAAAATCCTATTCCCTGTAACCATACATATCCATATGTGGTCCTGTCTTGGGTTCATTTCAAGAGTTCTGAGGTTCCATTTGATGCATAAAACGATTTTCACATTGTTAAATCTTTGCTCCCTAGCACACATTAAAAATAAAACATTTAACTATTGCGTAAAAATAAATTTGAATTATTAGTGTAGGCAAATAATCTTTTATATTAACAGTTTCCAATAAAAAAAATTTCTTTTATATTAACCAAAATTTTTAGTTCCCTTGAAAATGATCCACCAATGTATATATCAAGCTTATTCCTTCCATGACCTGCTATGAAAAATATTAGTACTTTATGTTTATTTTATAATTAGGTTATTTTGATAATTTACATAAAAGAATTTCTTAAGTCTAGATCTCTATAAATATAGCTTGTAATTCAAAATGTAATTATCAATTTGTGGCTGTCTCGACAATATTTTTTTTTGTTTTTTCCATTGATAAAATAATATCCGTGAACTTCATAGTTTGATTATTCTTCACACTCTGATTTCTATAATTGAGGTAGATAGAGAGTGAAGAATCCGTGCACCCTGCAACCAGAAAGAAGTGGGGATCGACAAACTCAAGCCCTATTACGAAAGACTTTTAACATCGTGTTAGAGCATTAGCCCAAAATTAAGCAGTTAAAGACAAAGCCAACAATGCTTTACCAAGCTTACACTAAAAACTGATTATTTCTAAAGAAAAAGAGGGCAAGTTCCTTAAAATGACACCTTCAACTAAATCCTAAAAAATATCAATGTTGATGCTAGATTGATATGATATCACATTACAAAGGTTCAATATTTGACAGTAAGCCCCTGTGACATTTGTGGTCCACTCCATATTAACTCAGCTAATTGGTAGTTGGTCCATTCAGTGGCATGACCACCATGATTGCTGCATAATTCATAGGCCAAATCGGACAAATGGTCCCCGTGGTCATAAGGTATTCGGAAGATAGCCCTGTGGTTTAAAAATTCGGATTTAAACCCTGGTGAAACCTGTTAGGATTTATGCCCCACATTGAAACTTCTGTTTGTTTGTTAGTCCAAGTAAGCCAACTTCTCTTTCTCTCTTTTCATCTTTCCTTTCTTTCTTCTATCTCTGCAACCTGCTGAACCAAAAATAGAACCAACGTGACAACTTCATCTTCCCAATCGGTCGATTCGATTCCCCATCTTAAATAGAAGCTATGGAAGCTACTCATTCTTCCACTCTCTCTGCCCAAACCCGTAGCCATCTCCTTTCACCAATTGAGGTTTTTGAACCACCATTCCATGTGGGTTGGATCACAGCAGGAAGCCAATTTTGATCAGCTGCTTCTGGGAAAAGCTGCTTTATCATCCTCTCAAGCAGCTCAAGCTTTGTGCCGCGCCACCCTCTTGAAAAAAATTGATGGCTCAACTTTGTTCTGTGCATGAATGCACCATAAACATGGTCCAAAACACAGTGGAGCATTCCCAGATTCGCAGTCACCATTTTTGAGAGAAACCCAAAAATTCAAACACCAAAATTTTCACAAAAGGTTGGGAACAGAATTTAGATGGCATTATATGCAAATTTTCAGAAATAGAGAAGAACCCAGAATCCAGTGTTGGGAAAAATAAAAATTTGTGAATTTTTTCATCTAAAAATCATGATTTTGGGGATGAATAGATTAGAGATTACTTGAAATTTTGAAATAAATACTAAAGAACTATGGCCATTATGAATCGAGAGGCATGGGCAGTGAAGATCAATCAATAGGAAAACTGAGGAAGAATGAAGGAGGCTGTGAGCAAAAAGGAGATGAGAGGAAGGGAGAGAGGAGGGATCCCAAAACAAAGGGGAGTAAAAGTACAATTTTACCAATCCATTTAACGGACACTTAACAGAAAAGTCACCTTGGACTAAATTTGCTAACAAACTATACCACAGGGTTTTAAATCAGAATTTTTTTACCACAGGGGCTATCTTCCGAATACCTTAAAACCACAGGGACCATTTATCCGATTTGGCCTAATTCATATGTTTCTGCTTCAGTTTCTCCTCAACCACAACCAGATCCTCTATATCCTCCACTGCCACAACAAGCAGATCTACCATCCTTGAAACCTCACAATCCAATAGCCAAAAGTAAATTTAAAACCATGAAGGAAATCATAAAATTCTAAAAGGAATTTCTAGCAAAACTTATGTTGTCAGACTATGAATCTCTGAACTACACATTTCAAAGAGAGTTAAAACTAGTCCATACTAGTCCATCATCTATATTCAGCCTTTTGGGGGGGGGGGGGGAACATTTCTGTTTAATATAATGGTAAGAGCGTACCATATTTGGAAGGGTTATAATCAAATATTAAATACTTTGACTCCTGTTAATTTGGTCTCTAAATTCTTTAGAGCAATAGACAGAGTTCTATTGTGTAGTCTGGCAAGTGTGGATTGTTCTTCAGCAGTCACTACCCAGTTGGGCCAGTTCAGGATTTCCTGTTTTGATTTTAGGTTTGCAGCCCAAAGGTCCAACGTTCCGAAATGCAATTTCCTTCCTCCTAATTATATATTTCCTATACAATAAAGTTCGGTTCATTTAGTTCAAGCCAAAATATTAAACATGGACTATCAAAATCCAATTTATATTAGTCAAGTTTGTGATCACAGTTGCTACATTGCCTTTTGTGGTTCGGAGAAGCACACAAATTCTTGGGTGTTCTTGAGTACCCAGTATTCTGGGTATTTTAACAGCTAGATCTTGATTGTTAAATTTAAACAAAAATCTAATGGTTAAAATACCTTAAATACTCGATACTCCAGAGTATCCACGAAAGTCCATTAAGAAGCATTTGGGTTTTAGAAAGAGAAGGTAAATTATTCATTGCCTACAATGTGAACAAGTAAACAGCTTTTAACAGCAACTTCTTGGCTTTTTTCCTCACCCAGCTTATGAATGAGTGACTTCTCTACAGCCTTAAAATGGCTAAATTGAGTTGGAAGACTTATCTGGAAAATCAAAGCACCTTCAGCTAGGTATTAAAAAAAAACCATTTGCACATAATTTATAGCTGATTTCCTAATTTGACTAACTAGATGTCAGATCTTTAAGAGTCGGTCTAGCGACTCAGTACTAATCAATATCAATATAGTCCTCAACTCAGTTAATTAACTTCGAAGCCTAGCAAGTATAGAGTTTATCATAAAAGGATTAGTGAACACATAATAGAATCCTTCACAATACATTGTATTTTATTTTGTCAATCTTCTGATACGACACCAAAATATAAGCAAGATGTCTATGTTGACATGCTATATAGTTGAACGAAAAAAGGGAGGGTGAAACAAAATAAAAAAGAAAATATTTTAATCACAAGGAACATTATTATCTTTGAACTAATACAAAGCATTTGTCCGAATTAATGAAGATGTAGTCTGATCATTCAAATTCAGACAAACACTTTTACAACACGTGTTTATTTAGATTTATATATAAAGTTTATACTGTGCTTAATACTTAATTAGTTTCAAATAGTGTTTTCAGATTGTAACCCACAGTGGAATTCGGAGTCCCAATCCAGAATTGCTTGGCAAGCTGCTCGTATGCCCTTTCAGTTGGATGAAAAGGATCAAAGAAGACATATTCACTAACATTGTGACATAAAGAGTAACCTCCCTTCACTCCACAGCTCAAATGTCCTCGATATGGACCACTGCCGCAGCATGCTGCCTTTCCTTCCACAAAACCTTTGCCAAGTACAATACCACAATTATTGATTAATAATATGAAATTATAAATGAAATATCAGAGTAAACCGTGCATATATATATACACATAATAGCACTTTGAAAAAGTCGTCATGCACTTCTTAAGTGCTATTTCTCCTTGTGTATTATAAGGTAGCAGTGCATGATCGCCTTTTAGAGTTGCAATAACAACTTTTGCAAAAGATTATGAACATTGTTGTATATACCATATTTGGAAGGGTGATCTATTCTGCGTTTCAGAAACTCATAAGCTTCAATGAGTGAGTATCGAAATCCTTTGAGTTCATTCTCTAGCTTTTGCAGGGTTTTGAGAAGTGCTTTATCGTGGAGTACCACATATGGTGTAATTTCCTCAAAGCAAGCACCATTTTTATTTTCAAGTGCTCTTCCGTATGGAATACAAGCAGCAGGCCACATGCCAAGAAACCCAAAATTTCTTCCTCCATTCCTGTATATTTCCTAACACATCAAAATTCTAAAATATTAATACTTATATAGGAAAAATATATCTTGTCAAATTAACTGTATTTATTTCTTTTTTCGGTATTAAATTTACCTTGATCGCTGAAGTTATGTTGCCTATCACCAGTCCTACATATTTCTCAGGGGAGTAGGAATGAAGCACACTGGAATTTTTCTCAAAAGGGACAATGTAATCGTTGCTTCCGAAGGCAAACAAGTAAACAGCTCTTGATAGCAGAGTTGTGACTTCATCATGCCCTAGTTCCTGTCTCAATGACTTTCTAACGCTTTCTAAATTTGAGAGTTGAGAAGGAAGGTCTATCACCTGAAAGGAGGTTACAGAACAATGAATTCCATCGTAAAGAGAAATATTTGATGTATGATATATATGTAAAATAAATGTAATAATTCTCATATGACCTATGTAATATGGGATTTTATTTTTATGAATTGTGGTGCTTTAAGAATAATAAGCTATAAAGTAAATATTTTTAAGAGGGTTATCAGTGGGAGAAGGAATGTCGCATCGTCTAGTAAATTTTAATGTAAAGTTAGCTGGATACAATGACTAAAATGGATAGGATGTTCAAAATTTTATGTACTGGACATTTTAGCAAAAAAGAAGAGTTGCGTTTATGGTGGTGGGTGGTGACCACGACGATGGTGGTTAGGAGTTGCGATAATGGAAACAGTGGGTGGAGGGTCAGTGGGGGGATGGTAGGGGTATTGGTGCGGGTGACGGTGGTGGTGGCTGCAGTGGTAGGCTGGTGGAGTTGTATAGGTAGAAATGGTGGTGGGAATGTTGGCTGTGGCGACTAAGTTCAGGCACTGGCAGAGCTGGTGAATGTGGTGGTGGCGGTGAGGGTTTTGTTGGCGCATTGGTGGTGGGAGTGGTGGAGGCAGTGGTGGGCTGGTGGAGGTGTATAGGTAGCAATGGTGGTGGGTATGTTGGCTGTGGCGACTAAGTTGAGGCACTGGCAGAGGTGGTGAAAATGGTGGCGGCGTTGGTGGTGGGAGTGGTGGTGGCGATGGTGGTCTGGGGTGGTTGGCAGTGGCAGTGGTGGCTAATCTAGGTGGGGGATGGTCGAGTTGCTCCCCAAGGGATAGTGTGCAAAAACGCGAAAGAAAGACAAGCAACTAGTACAAAACTTGAAAGATTCATTAAAGAACAGTGTTCAAGATACCAAAGTGATTTTTGAACGATTTATGAAGGAAAGGGCATTAAGAAGAAGAAAGCACGGGGCTTCATTCTTGTAAACTCAAAGAAGGAAAAATTGGAACTTCAAGAAGAAGATGGAAACAAGAGGGCTCAAAGTGGCATCGTTAGAACAAGAAAAATAGAGAAAATATATCTCTAATATCAATAATAACAAAATACTAAAAATATGACTTTAACCCTCAAATTCAAATTTTCCCATATAAAACCCAACATAATATTTTTACTCAAAAAAACCTAGTGACTAGGATCCACCTAAGTGAATTCATTAATTACATATTACTTTACACATTTTACATTTTTAGATGCCTAAAATACCCCTATTGCATACTTGATGTGCACAATTAATTCTATGCAGATTGTGAAGAGAGAGTTAATGATTTTGCAAAAAGAAAAATAAGACATTAATATTAAAAAATTCATTGCATATTAATATCAAATATGAGAATTGTTGGCTTAATTCTATGTATCTGACATTATGAGTTTATATATATATATATCTTTACAAAAAGAAAAACCTAATATATGTAATAATACATAAAAAAAAAGTAATTTACGTACCATGTACAAAAATGTTATTTGATTCAAAATATGTATATATGTGTGTGTGTGTGTGTGTATTTATATAATTAGACCATATTAATTTACTTACTTACTATTTGAAATGTTAATTTCCAATTATGCAAAATATTGTATACCAACAACAAAATATTTCATAAACTTAGGAATTGGATCATGCTTTTTGATTTTATCTTTTACCTACAAACAATCATATACATATTACTTTATATATTTTTACCAAAAACCGTCCCTAATAGGCTAATATATGTAATAATACATAAAAAATAATTTACCTACCATGTATACAAAAATGTTATTTGATTCAAAATATATAATCTAGGTTTTCTCCAAAAAAAAAAAAAAAAAAAAAAAAAAAAAAATATATATATATATATATATATATATAATCTAGGTGTGGTATATATGTGACATCCCACATCGCCCAGGGGAGTGGATCATGTAAGCCTTATATGTATATTCCCATCTTTACCTAGCACGAGGCATTTTAGGAGCTCACTGGCTTCGAGTTCTGGAACTCCGAAGTTAAGCAAGTTAGCACGAGAGCAATCCCATGATGGGTGATCCACTGAGAAGTTCTCGTGTGAGTTCACAGAAACAAACCGTGAGGGTGTGGTCGGGGCCCAAAGCTGATAATATTGTGCTACGGTGGAGTCGAGTCTGGGATATGGTGGGGGCCTAGGCTGGGATGTGACAATATATATATTTTTATATAATTGGAACAAATTAATTTACCTACCTACATATTAATTTCCAATAATTTACTACAAAAAATTATACCCCGTGTGTAATATAATATCTTTTTTTCACTAATACATGGAGAATAATTTACTCATAACAAGAAGAAATATAATTTGATGTATTACATTGAAAAATATGTCATACCTATATTTATACAACAATAAAGAGTAAATTGTACAAATGGTCCCTCAACTTTAATCAAATTGGAGCAATGGTCCCTCAACTAAAAATTCATTACCATTGGTCCCTCAACTTATCAAAATGTGTAGCTATAGTCATTTTCATCAATTTTGTCAAAATAAGCTATGTTGGAATGACCATTTATATAATTAGGGTCCCTCAACTCATCAAAGTGTATAATTATGGTTCTTTTCGTCAACTATGTCAAAAAATTTGTCAAAACGAGTTATATTGTAAGGACCATTGCTACAATTGGATTAAAGTTAAAGGACCATTTCTCCACTTGAATTAAAGTTCAGGGACCAATGGTAATGAATTTTTAGTTGAGGGACCATAGCTGCACGTTTTGATAAGTTGAGGGACCAAAGGTAATGAATTTTTAGTTGAGGGACCATTGCTCCAATTGAGTTAAAGTTAAGGGACCATAGCTACAATTTACTCAACAATAAATCGTGCCTAATATATGTAACAATACATGAAAAATAATTTACCTACAAGTTAGAGAAGTGTTATTTAATTCAAAATATATAATACGGATTTAGTATAATTTTTTTTAATAATTGAAACAAATTAATTTACTTCCCAATTAATGCAAATTATATATATATATCACTAAAAAGGTAAATTTTTGGTATGATATGGATACAATTAATGCAATACAACAATTTATATATTTTATTTCACTTTTTCTACAACTTTTAATTTGGAATAAATTTAGGGATTTGGGAAAGTGGCATGGGTGTAAATAAATTGTATTAGTAGGTCAATAGTATTCCAATGTGGCTGCATATTTTAAATTTGGGCTTTTGTTGGACGTTTATATGTAGATGAGTTTTTATCTAGGAATCATGAATTGTAAGGGCCAAAATTTAAAGCACCCTAAAAAAAACATAACTAATAGAGACCACTCCTTGTTGTTTGAAGAAACCCTCCGCTTCAATTGGTATTTTTTCATGAAGAGCAAACATGAGATAACAAATCCAGTCTTTCACTAAGATTTCGAATAGCTATCCCGAATTCAAGTTGATTATGTTTCGCCTCTTCCTCGGAGAAAGACGATCAAACAATTCCCAATCATGGTGAGGAAAGCTGAAGGCAAGAGACAAACAATTGAGGCAAATTTAGCTCTCAGACGAGCTAGGACACGAGTAGAGGTTATTAATGTGATGTCGTAACTAGTCTAGTTGGTCCGCCCGAATAAGCAAAAATAAGGTGTATAAACAGAACTTCTGTTTATACACTTTATTTTGCTTATTCGTCCCTAATTTTGTTCCTGCCGATTGAATAAAAATCCATTCCTATAAAATTGGACCTATTTCAAATTTTCCCTTACTTTTTTTAACCAGATCTACCCGAAAGTGTCACAATTACATGTCACATACCAAGCCTTGATTAATTTCAACCAAAGCACCAGCTCCAGCAGATGCAAAGTTTACTCCATATCTGAATTCACGATTACCAGGCTGTAGATATGGTGGAATCAATGGCAACTTTGCATACTCAGCTGCATCAATAAAATTTAACAATTCCATCATGTGCAAGTAGTAATATTTTATATATATATATAAAAAAAAAAAGAATCATACCATTGTAATTGTTACACATAACTTACCAATAAAATCTGGAATTAGACGACCATTAGAAAATCGCCCCGTTGAGGAGTGATTAAAGAAGGTTTCACCATATGGAAAAAAATTTGCTTTTGAAGTAGTGTTGAAGTAGTCATTATTTCCAGCATCAAATATGGAATCCCCAAGAATGAAAAGGGGTACATGTTTTATTGGCATGCCATGACTTTGGGACGTTGTGATAAGAAGGCTAGCAAAGAAGGCAAAGGCAAAGACTTGGATACTTATATTCGCCATATCGAGGAACTAGGTGTATATTCACCGTGTGTAGTCTCAATTGATATATGTGTTTGTGTGTGTGTGTGTGTGTATATATATATATATACAGTTCTTTGAGTACACGCAACGCCGTAGTATATGCACCTAAACATTTAATAGGCCCACTGAGGTATATCTATTTAAATTGTGTATATCTATATTGAGTTTTGAACTAAATTACTTCATTACTTTATGGATTTTTTTTATTAGTACACCACCTATAGTTACTTTATTTTTTAGTCGAACGATAGCGTTAGTAAGTTAGATGTTAGATTAGTCATCGACAGAGTTCGAAACCACACCATCATGCAAGGCCACGATACTTTTCTATCAATGTGGTAAAGGGTCACTGACACATATCAGTTTATTATTAAATGATCATTTATATACACTAACATGAAATGACTATTTAGATCATAAAAAATTATAAAAAAAAATTATTTTCTTAATAAACCCCAAATTAATTAAAAATATCAAACTTTCCTAAATCCCTAAATCCTTGTTTTCACTGTTTAGACGAATTTGACCGAGCTTAACAATAGCAATAAGTCTTGTAGATCTCACTGTTCTCTTCAAATCTATGTATTACATGCTCAAAACTAACACGTCAAACCAAAATTATATTAATTTGGATTGCTTGAAAAATCCAAAAGATGAACTTTCGAGATATAGCCATAACAAATAACTTATTAACCCACAAATTACCAAGTACTCACTTGTTTTAGTTGATTAATCGCGGCTTTCATCTTTTAATTTTATAGCATATAAAGTAACCCAATTTCTAGCCGGCATCACACTATATCTATGGTATTATTTGACCTCAGCAGTAGAATAAACATGAAACATATGTGAACTTGATTCATCAAAAGGCATTAGCATGTGGAAGTTGCCGAGAACCCATAGAGTCGTTACTTTTTATTTTTTATTTTTCAGTCATTGTCATTTGGATATCAAGGAAGGGGAACCATGTATTTGGTGTTCTTTATAAATGTACCTAAAAGTTAGGTACGTATTGCTCAAGTAATGACAAGAGTGGATGAGACTTGCGTACATCTATTCAAACTGTGTGGCAATCAGACTACGTTATATCTATGGGGAATTGGATCCTCTCCGAGGCAATGCCTCGGGATCTTACTGATCGGACAACATGGACTGTTAAATTTTGATCCAACGGTTACAAATAGAGGATCTCTCTAAAAGTTATAATAATTGTAGTCGTTATATTAAAATCCAACGATCCATGTTGTTCGGTCAGTAGGATCCCGAGGCATTGCCTCGGAGAGGATCCAATTCCTATCTATGGTATTATTTGATGCAGCAGCAGTATGTAGGGACAACCTGTCTACCGCGTGTTAAACATGTGGACGTGATTCATCAAAAGAAAGGCATATATATACATGTGGAAAACGCAGAGAACAACCTGTCTATTGCGTTGAGTCTGTTTTTTTCTGTGTGTATGTACATAAGGACATTGACTTTTGGATCGCAGATAAGGAAGGGGGCGGATCAGGATCCTCTCCTGAGCTAAGGATGAAGATCCTTCTCATTAAGGGATATGGGCCGTTGGATAAAAATCCAACAGCTACAATTATTATAACTTTAAAGGGACCCTCCTGTTTGTAGCCGTTGGATTTTCATCCAACGACCCACACTCATTGATGAGGAGGATCCTCATCCTTAGCTCAGGAGAGGATCTGGTCCGAAGGGGGCCATGTATTTTATCTTCTCTGCTTTTTTCTATTATAAAGACGTCCTATCTAGGATTTATTAGTCAAAACCTGTCACAAGAATTAAGTTGGAAAAGTTAAAAGCATTTCAATTTTGGCCAAAGGAATTAAGTTGGAAACTGGAATCACATTCTATTTGCTAATTTCTTGTGTTAATCAGGTACATAAGAGGACTGAAAACAATATTCAGGGACGAAACCGATCTTCTCCGGTGTTTAAATATCTCATATCTTCTGTAGTTTTGTAAAAAGAAGAGTTTAAATATGCTAAACCTACTCCAACTAACTAGATTTTTTGTAATAAAACCTCATATCTGATAAATTATGCAAGTAGTAATTACCAAGTTGAGAACAATATCGGTGTTGTTAAAAGTGGGCCTTTGGCTCGTCTCTCTGATAATTGGTATCAGAGTCAGGGAGCATGCATGTACTATACTACCACGTGATGGGTGGGTGCCCTTGGCCCGCACGATAATGGTAGGCGGATGAGTCCCACTAGTAGAAAAAAAAAAGCTCATCTATCACGGTCAATGCCTGTGGTAAATTGCAATCCACCACGGACATTATGCCTATTAGTAATCTGGATGTGATAGAAAGTCACAGATTTTACCATGAGTTATGCCCATTGTAGAATTGTAATATAACCACAGATTGTGCCCGTTGTAGATTAAGATCTAACACCACGTGCACTATAACCGTTGTGGATTACAAATTGCCCACGGCTAATGCCTGTTATAAAAAAAATTCCAAAAAAAAAAAATTGTTTAATAAATGTATTATATAATATTTATAAACAAAATTACAAATTTACTATAGTATAACAATTAAAAAAAATCATAGATTCAAACATTATAGTGGTATACTAAACTAAAGCTAACAACAAAAAGATAAGATATACAAAGAAATACCAAACTATCCAGAGACCTCCAACAAACAAGGACATTGTCACTAGAAGACTCCACATTTCTTTGAACACCTCTAAACAAAGGACCTTGAGAGTGAACTACTGCCCCTAATGCTTGAGCCTCAACAATTGTTGCATCTCTCTATTTGGATGGACATAAACATATGGATCAAGAAAAAAAATCTTGTACTTGTATAGGTAGAAATATACATTTGATCTTAATCAAGAAAAGTGAATAGAACTCTTGAAAAATTACATGTTCCTTTACCTGTTAGGATGCTCTCATACATACTTTAACAACCACTCTAGGCTCTGTCAAATGTAGCACATTGTCAGCTACGTTAATATACAATGATTATATTAAATTGCAATTGAAACTCTTAGGAACTTAAATGGAGAAATGAAAATGCGATCAAAATTCATGATATCAGAATTCATCCATACCTTTATGCATTCGTGTAGATCATGACCTTCTGTTCTGCAAAACCATGAGATCGCGTCAATGAGTAATTGAGAACTAGATGTGTGCGAGACTGAACTCGTTTATGTGTTCGATCGAAGGGGACCACAATTGATTGTCGCCCGAGCGCCATACACTCTTTGGGATGTTCCAGTGTACGCAATTGCATTCTACATAATCAATTAATCACCATTTACTTGGAAGTTGAAAATCTGTATTTTCTGTGACATTTTTACACTGAATTGTTTGTAAATTGACTTTGTTGTAGAAATTTCTATCATTTTTGCATATCCCCAACAGGTAACAAGAAACAACACTCAATTTAGAATACTTAATTAGTTAGGGCCTACCTCATGGCCATTCCCGCTGACTACATTAGGGGCATCGATGCGTATGGAAGTAAGATCAACAGTAATGTTTAGGGTATGGTGCTGTTTCTTGCCAAAGTTAGCCATAGACTTGGCCCTCAACACATCATCCACTGTGCTCCATTGTATGGGTATCGTTCATCTCGGACATCTCATCCTGTTTCTATGCCATATTTGCTGCAGTGCACCCTTAATCACATTTATCTCCTTCGTTGTTACTGCTTTTGGCCATTCTGGTGCCTTCCTCTACAGTTATATACGTACATAAATGTGATAACTCAACAAATTAATACTAATATATCAGCACCAAACCCTAGCTAGGTCATGATTAACACAACATTTTAATTCTATGATACCATTTAACTTACATAACAAACTGTTTTTCTTTTGATAAATAGAAAATGGAGAATCGAAGAAAGCAATGAAAGTTGAAAGCCAATGCATGGTTACAAATAAGTTTTCTTTGAGAACAAAAATCAAACACATGGTGTGCAAGTCTGAAAATTGAAAACCAAGCTCTCAGTTTTCCTTGAGAACAAAAAAACAAACACTTGGTGTGCAAGTTTGAAAGTTGAAAACCAAGCTCTGATGCTTCACTTGATGATTAAACCTTGATGGTGGTAGATATCAGATAGGCGCATTGTAGTACCTACTTTTCTCAGAAGTAGAATCGAAGAAAGCAAGCTAGAGTAATTCATTAAAAATCATCCTACATGACTCACTAGTCGTGACAGAGTGATGATTTGCAGACAAATATGGACAATTACAACTAAACCGAGCCTATCATAATGAAGTTGTCTATCCCTCCTAAACACTAAACCCTCTATGCTAACAAATGAATAGACTTCAAATGCAAAATGTCTACATTCCATTTTGGGCACTTAAAATCACGACCATGATAAGATCCACTTCTCAATTCCATTAATTAACCTAAAGGAACACAGAGGCTAGAGAGGAGAGGGAAGGAAGAGAGAGAGCAGAGCTCTTGAATTGTTTTTGTTTATATTTCTTGTATGTAAATTCCGATATGATATAATTGAAGGAGCTCAGCTCCTTTTATAGACTTTTACACCTTTATTACCACCTAGCATTTCTAACAGACTTCACTAATTAACAGGAATAAGCCTAACAAATCCAATATTAAACCCCTAATAGTGATTTAGCCAATCACTAAATCCTAAGTTCATAACATTACCTACCCCTTAAGAACAACCTTGTCCTCAAGGTTAAATTGAAGAACTGGTTGTACTTCTCAATTGTTTGCTTACCCCCTAGTGAAAGGTGCAACTGTTCTAATGGTACCAATTATTAGCTCTACTATATTGAGCTTGTCACTAAATCCTGTGAGTTGAAGAATACGACTGAGCTTGTGTTGCGTATTGTTAATTCCCTAATAGCACATTTGAGATCATCTTGGACCTCATCTTCCAACTCAAATTGGCTCATGCCCTTCCTGCCCTTGAGATGGTAGAAATCAATAAGGTCATGGGGTGGTGCAATTAATATGTGGGTGATAAGAGCATATTTATGTGACTTAGTTAGCTTGTTCTTGTGCATTTATGTTGTTATTTCTTA